CATTTATTCCTACATGCCATTAGAAGATGTCCACGTGTATGCAAAGCACCACACACACATTATACGGGTGTAAAGAAAATCTCTCAACGGTCTTTTAGCTTACAGCTTGATGATCTTTAATGCCTTCCACTGATCTCTCAGTATGTTTAAACAACCCCATGACCAATTTATTTTGGTCTGACTTTTTTTCTTTGATTGCCCTGCGGTTTTCGTCATAAAGATGTGGAAATGAGGTATCATTAACACTAATGTCTTGAAACGGCCCTAAGCTCTATGTTGTATCCACGAATGACTTCCCCATGCAGGTTTTCCTTAGTTCTGACATGTATTTTGTATTTATAAGCTGCAGCAGATGGAGCGATGCGACCCCGCTCTACCAGTCACGACATCCGGGAGCTGCTCAACAGCCTGGCGGAGAAACAGGACCAGTTCGAGGATCTTCTGTGGAGGCTGGAGCTTCTGCTGGGTATGGCGCCTGTTCTCGTAAATTTAACGCCTTATATGTATACCGAATCAAAATGGGTACGGGGCCTGCATTCAGCTACATAAAACGTTAACCTCCCGTGGGTCTCCAACGCCTGAGTATCAGAACTGCGCATACCTTAGGAATACCAAGGACGTCCTTGGGAATACCTATGATGCGTAAATAGATCTCCTTCAATCTAGTTTCTTCTGTGTAACTTGGCGATGTAAGGTACACGTTGGAATTAAGAGAGTTGGAGCTACCTAGTTGTTTGGATTATATATTGAGCTTCAACGACGAGCAAGTCAGGTCTGTCCAAACATGGTAAATAATTCAGCTGTTCAATTACTGCGCAATTAAGATTGATGGAATACCGTAGGAAAGAAAAGAGTACACTATCACTAATTTCTAGATAGCCATCAATACACTTGCGTGCGTTTCTTATTTCAGATTCTGACGAGATAGAAGACATGCCACAAAACGTGACGTCGTCATATCTGAACGACACCTCTGGCTTCATGCCCGGGAATTTAACAGAAGCGGAAGTGAGGTCAACCGGAGAGCATGACCCCGTGACAAAGACAATGGTAACCATGGTGATTTTCATCAGTTTGATCGTGTACGCCATGATCATCAAAGGGATTCTCTTCTGCAAGGAACTTCAAAAACACTGGTGAAAAGGCGCTGTGATTGTTATCATGAAAATTATAACAAACCAAATTGTTTATCGCTTTTTTGTGTGCGGACATCAAGCACCAAGACAATGACTTGAGTTGGTCACTAGCACAATTGCAAACAACAATAAGGAGCGAAGTTTTTGTGCTATATCCTTTCGAATACCAGCTATTGTTGCTCACCCGACATTCCGGCAACTGAAAGGGCCGTTAAGCTGAGGTCCACTGTTCAAAGTTGTCAAAAAGAGCGAGGAGAATTTCACCATTACACTAGTGGGCCTGTAAATACTGTACAAAACGCCTGTCACGGCTAGAGAAAGGGTAGCTCTTCAGTGGAGTAAACTGGTTCCAGATCACTGCAACCATTTCTGTATAAATCATTTTTGATAGGTATGTACACGTCATCCCATTCATATGGTGTGATATGAAGATTCATTTTACAACGTTTAATGGTCCCACACTGCACTGTACGAGATGTCGAGGTGGACGTACATTGTGGCTGTGTACGTACTAGTAACATATACGTCACTGCGGCAGACAAGCGCCACATACAGTTATCTACCTAGTACATGTACAGTCATTAAGGATGACCGAGAAAGTCCAGAAGTCTCTGTATTCCAGCTTGTTTCATACGCCTCTACCTGTGAAGACCATTCGTGTAAATCACATGTTGCCATTGAAATTTGTAAAATGGTGGTTTTTGACCCATTTTTCCTAATAAAAACGAATCATCAATGTGGTGTTGAATTAAAGACAATATGACGATGCTGTATCATAAGATTTTAATGCACCAGCAAGACCACGCAGTCTCAATTTCTTTGAAAAAAATTAATTGGTGCAGTTTTAATGGTGATTCATAAACAAGATTGCCTTCTCACATTTGCAGTCCATACATGACAACAGAAAAAGACGTCGCGTGATTTAACATCAACAAGAAGCCATAGGTGACAATCCTCCGTGAAGTTTTATATATTTCAACAAAATCCCAAGCGTCAACGCCAGACCTACTGTGCAGACATTATAATTAGGCAACGGTTAATACAATGAGGGCGCGTCACAAGCATAAAACATACAAAGAGCTAAATCCATTACTGCTCCCAGGGCGTGTAAAGATACTGTGCTTCAAGTTCGAAGTTCATTTTAATTACACACACACAATCATTGCATTCACATAAAGATCGGACTATCATGGTCGTGTCTAGTAACAAAGACAGCCCCACCGTCAATGACCGTCTTTGGATACTGTCTGGCCAATTTGATACTGCCTGGCCAATTTGATACTGTCTTTTGCAGCCACCGAAACATCTGCTTGGAGATTACCTGTACCTAATTAAGCGCGCCTGGAACAGGCCAAATTCCAGCAACAGTTGCGGTAAGCACCGCGAGTGTTACTACCGCAGGCCAGATAACCAGGATATCTGCTTACAGTACCTCTGCTACCAGACAACTGCCTAAACCTACGGCCTATTCCACAGGATTGTAAAAGTAGGGATGTTTCTAAAATATGCATTTACTTCAATATCAAAACAGCTACGGTAAAAATAAAAAGACGTGCATCATCCCGGACATAATGCCACACCACATGCGAAATTACACAGAAATGCGACGTACGGAAGAATGCATTTTGGCTGCGAACATCTTCCAAAAAACCTGGCATCTCTTAAGCATGGGCAAAAACATCTGGAACCACTTATCAAAACCACCCCGTATCTGCATGAAGTTCCACCCCCCCCACTGCTATTCCCAACAACGCGTTTTTCTGGACCATTCCAATTCGCCTCGTAATTGTAGGGGTGCGTCTGCAATATTACATTGACCGCGAAAGCAGCAACGGCAAAAATACACATTCGTGCATCAACACGGGCATGCCCGCAGACGGCGTATAAAATTGCGTGCCGATTACACAAAGAGAACCCAGTGTTTTGACTGCGAACATGAAAAATCAGCCGATCACAACACTCCGTCCGGAGGTCCTGACCTCCTTCACGGGGTAATAAAACTACTAGCAACTCAAGCCAAACACTCCCCGTGTGTCTAATACCCCCCCTCCCCCCACCATGTTATCACTTCCCTCAGCCAGCGGCTGTCTAGACGTTTTAAATCCCAGCGTGCATCATCGCACCTTATCCCACTCCACTTGAGACGGCAGTCCATGGTCGTCATGGTAACGCCAGTGTCAAGATATTTTCTACCGTTTCACACCTACGCACGGCGCAACTATTTATGGATACAGTCGATGGTATACTGTAGCTTTTCCCGCCGTACAATAATAATCTGTACCTGCTTGCGTGACGTTGGTATTGTAATGATGACCCTTCTGCGCGAGGTTTGGTGAGTGAGATGGTGGATGAGGTAGGGTATTTTTGACGGACATCAACTAGTTTATTATGGTTTTGGAGTGCAATGATGGAATCATTATCAAGGCAAGATTACCAAGGATACTTTCAGTACAGCTGGACTAAATCGCGCTCCTGGCGGCCGCCCGCCCCTAAGGTTGCCGCCCCCAAAAAAGGGGCGGGGGTCGTTAACTCCCCACCGAGAGCTTGTGTAAACACAGGTTACTTTCAGTAAAACAGAAATACGGTAACTCTAAATGCCATGCAACAGCCTTGGGCAACGAAGGCCTTTCAAATTTTCAAATACGCTCACTTCCTGATGAAATAATTGAGTACAGCACTCCAAGTTAGTAAAAATCATTTTTGGACTTTATTTTGTTAGCTAACAAGTATTATCTAAAAAAATGCAAACCTTGACCCCACCAAGAACAGCAAATTCCTGATGGATAAAAGATGCTTTATACCATTACCCCAATAACTAATGCTTTGAAGGCACCTACATTTTGCACCAATATAGTCAAAAACCAGGATTTCAATCAGGATTTAATTTTCTCCCAAGTTCAGTGGACCTGGAGGCACTGTAAAAGTGAAGGCACAGTTTTTAAGCTATGACTGAACTCTTGTTATCCAATTATAAAAAGTGGCATATTATCTTGATCTTTTGGCCTTTGTTATCCACCACCATGACTTCCAGTGGTGTAATTGAAATTCATCCACTGTATTGCAGCAACAGCCTAGCAAGTAGATTGCTCACTTTTCAGTTTAATTCTCTGACTACCAAAGTCATACCAAAAATGGAGCAGGTACAGGTACATCCTGTTTCTCTGCTTAGCACTTAACATGTATGAGAAGTATAGCAGTTGGCCACACAGTGCTACCAGTAGATTTGCCCCCTTTTGTAACTTTATCACTGCTTGCACTGCTGTGTGCCCAAGGGCTAAGGAAATGCAGATGGGTCCCCACCCAACACCCCAACTTCAGCATTCACACAATATCAACTCATGCATTAAGCTTGTTCCAGACTGAAACTGAAACCCGTCATCACAGCCCCTTGTTGAAGTACACAGTTTTGATCTTGTCTCCATATTTCTCCTGGATGGATGCTTTTAGGTCAGGCTCCAACTTCTCTACAGCTAAGGAACTGTGGAGGAGAGAAAACGTGTACTGAGCTACAACATTAAACTAGTACTGTTATATAATTAGATAAACTATTAAAAGATATGTTAACTACATGTTGTATGATGTCATGTGTTATGTGTTTATTATCATTTGCCCTCGTTGACCTATGTAGTACTCTTGTTACATTTTTGACAAATATGAAAAATACAAAATACAAACATATTGGGCCTACATGTAACATTATAAAGATGGGTTTGCCCTTGAGGTATCCCAAAAAGTATCACAAATTAAAGATAATACAACGGACAAGCAACAGACTAGGCAGACTATCTTGGTACTTAAGATTTGGCTAGTAATACACTTCTTACAGGAAATAAAGAAATATATATATATACTGTCAAAGCATAAGAAAGTGACATACGCTCTTTGCGGGAATAATGCACAGGCCGTTGGCACCATAAACACAAGGCTGGATTCAAAAGAACAAAAGAACAAAGTTGCACATCATTTGACAGGACAAAACATTCTATTCAGAAACCCTTGAAACAAATACTACATGTAGTACACAAAAATTATTATCCATTCTAAAGCTCTTATAATACACAAGTACAGATGAATTGTGAAATACATTCTGAACATTCTGAAAAGCAAGTATGGTACTCACAAGCATCCAACCAACATGACTTGTATGGGGGCATGAAGGAACTGTATTCTCTGCATGGGGAAGTAGTAATAGCATCACATACATGTAACATACCAATCCAACATAAGCACAGTGTTTATAGAATTTATACGCATATATACATACACAAACACATGCATGCACACTTGACAATAAGAATTATTTGTTTTTTTTTACCCCTATTCTAAAAAATATACCTATATACTTTACCTGCATCCATGTGTACCTCTCCATTTTCTGCATGATGACAGGACACAGTACTGAACACAAAGAGAGAAACACTGTAACAATAATACTCAATAGTCCTATATGGTACATGTACCATGCTTCCAATGTACAAGAACTCCTTGTACATTGTGTGTACTTTTAATTTCAATAGAAAAGAAAGAAGTGTTGGCCAGGAAACCATTCCAACTTTCTCACCTCTTTACTGTTGTTTCTTACCTATGAATTTCAGATTTCTCACATTCCTCACATTCAATGTTATGTTGAGACAAGTCTTTCCTTTGTCAACTTCATCATATAAGGCTACCATGAAGATTTACATTTGAGATACCAGCCAGAACCTTAAAACAGGTACATACCATTAGTACAAATTAGAATGGTACTTACACATTCCAGGTGCAGCCATGGACACTCTGGACACAAACACTTGGAAAATTCCCTTTTTTGCTGCTTTCTAAAGAGTCACAGGAAGGAATTAGAAGAAAGGCCTGTTTAATAATACTTCCTGGGGGTAATTCATTAGTAAAGAAGCAGTGGTCGAAATACTTTTTTTCAGTGCTCTGCAATATTGCAGAAGAGTCAAAATTTTGTTCTGCAATTTGGAAATACTTTCTGCAAATACACAAGCCTCCATACTACAATCTTGCAAGTTTAAATTTATAAGCATGAACTATTGATTGATTGCAAATTAGTGAAGACAAATTTGTTGAAGTCCACAAGGAAACAAAAGATAAACAAGTCAAGACAAGGTTGATGTAAATTAGTGAAGAAGCTCCTGTTGTTTCAGAACAGGAGCTTATAAGTGTTGTCTGTCCTTGGGGCCAAGAGCACCAAATCCCAAGTGCCAATTTTTCCTGCTGCAAAATTGCAGATTGTATAAATTTTTCTTCTGCAATCTTGAAAATCTATCTGCAAATTGCAGACTGCAGACAGGTATTTCGAACACTGAGAAGAGTTTAAAAAATAGATTCAGAAACATTCCTGAATTTATCTAATTCATATCTTAGTCTCTCCTTCCATTATTCCAAACTCTATTCTCTGACTTCTACTTCATTCATAAGAAATGTTACGGCTACTCTTTATCTTGAAAATATGTAGTCTCAGTTTGTATGTGTATAGTTAACTGATGGTTCTTACCTTGGACTTTCCTAGTTCATTCCCATTTCCATCAGTAATTACAATGCCATTCATGAGTTCTCTGTCACGAGAAAAAGACAGCAGTGGATTACACACCCTAATTGTATACTACACATCTATCTACTCATCACAATTGTCTAAAACCATCTCTGTTGGTATGAGAATGTACATCCATATATGGAAAAAGTTGTCTAGCTCAAGCACCTTCACACTGTATCATCTTTAAGAATTCTATTTACTGCAGTGTCTACTAGTAACCTGATTAGGTGCAATTAGGCTGTGGGAGATGACATCACTGGTACCAATGAACAACTCAACTCTTTACATTTTTCAGAGACTACAGGATAATCTACTAGCTGTTGTAGTCCACAACTTTAACTGGAATTCCAACATGAGCTCCAAAAGCTGTCCTTACCTTTGTCTCATGAGTGGTATATTGGCAAAGTTTCCTGCAGCCACTGCTGCAAATGGCACGTAACGCTGCAGCAACTGTGGTGCCCTCTGCAGTCAAAATAAACCATAGCCAATCAGATGGCTTATATATGCATATCAACGACTTTATAAAATAACATTGGAGAAGTCCAACAACAAATAATCTGTTTTGGTTTGGTTTGTTTGAGAATACAACTGAAAATCGTGATCTGCCTATAACATTCTGGTCAATGTTAGCATAAAGTAATTTTGTATTATATAACGTTACATATATATATCATATACAGTATCTCTATTAAAAGATTTTTAAACGATAAGAGTTGAATCTGTTTCTGACTTTTAATTCATTGAAAATGGTAAGTTGGAAAATTTAACTGACTACACTGATTTCATTGTCCTACATGAAAGAGAGCATCAGTATAAAAAGTTGTCACTATCAATATTGCAGATAATTATGGTTGTGCTACAGTTCCTGATGCCTTGCCTTTTCCTAAATACAACACATATGTAGAAAATCTCAGTATATAAGTGTTTACCGCTGTGAGAGAGTTAAGGCCCACAGACACTGCTACAGCTGCTGTGGTCGCACTGACATATGCTGTACCAATCTGTCTGGGAGAAAGAAAATATCTAAATCTATATTTTTCTAACAAACTGAGAATTAAATTAGCCAAAGTAAAAAAAAAATGTTCCTGAAGTCTTACACTCCTCTGTAATTGTACAGGAATGCATTTAGCTAGAATACATGTATTACATTTCTTCAAATGTGAGAAAAAAAACTTCCTTGAAAAATAGGTCTTCAACTTTACCAAAACTACATGTAATATAAAACTTAACAGAAAGTTTCAAATGGTGAAGTTCCCTTTTAGATGGTTAGTGTACCTGAGACATCTGTCATTTTACATACTTGGTTGTTATTGCAGATGCTGCATTCCTGTTGGTATAGTTGACCAGAGCATTGAAGGACTGGTTAATCCACTGCCAGAATACAACAGCTGGTACTGTCCTATAATAAACAGACATAAGATTTTAAAAATCAAAAGTGACAGCAGCACAGTGCTGCAGAGGGTGTTTGACAATACATGTATTCCCTTGGGGTGAAGCAAAAGTCTTCTATTTACATCATCTTTTCAACCCAGCATCACATGACTTGAACTGACCTATAGAATTGCAGCATGAAGCCCGTGATGAGCATTCCACCTGGCACCTGGAAGGACATCCGACCAATCACGTTCTGCAGCTCGCCTGAGTCCGGGTGGAAGGCGGAGTCGTACAGCTTCTTGGCATACCACAGCTGCTCCTCCGTCGTGCCAGGTGGCATAGAACCTAGTCTGTGGAGATGTCGTAAAATATATGTAACATTTTTTTATTCAATTCTAGATGTAGGTACAGAGGTACAGAGGTACATGTCTTGTTTTGGGTGGCAGAGCTAGCTGTGGGTTTCTGTATCTGTTGACATCTCCAGACAAGGTAGGTTGATATCATGTGGGTGGGGGAAGATTGGCAGGCAGAATTACATGAGGTCAAAAGGTCAGACAAAGGTTTGTTGGGAAACCAGAAACACAACATTTTCCCCTAGGCCCTACCTGTAATTTGTGACCAGATCTCTGGCTTGGTTTAGCTTTGCATCACTGCTCAACACTGTCCTCATGTCTGTCAGGTTGGCAAAGTGCTTCAGCCGGCCTACGAAGGTGGACTGGTCCCATCTGGGCCGGTCCAAGTCAATTCTGGGCATCTCGGAACTTGCAGTCATGTCTCCAAGGAGGTTAAAATCTCCCTGCTGAAACTGGATTGAGCAAGTAGCAATTTAGTCACCATGAACCATATCATTAACCCTTAAGGATAATCATGTTCGTAACATGCACAAATCATGGAATCAATCAGTGATGGCAAGCTTCACCCCTTTATAACCATTCAGTAAAGAGAAGCACAGCACCAACTGGAAGAAATATTCCTACCCTGCCAAAGAGAACTACTCTACTCAAGGACATATACTTCTGTATAATGTCCTTGCTCTACTCTAATTTACTCTTACATATGTAATAACCCAAAGCTGCAATTTTGTATCTATAAGGGAAGTGAAGAAACGCGCGCAGTCACACAGACAACAACATTCCACACCCTTGGGATGACGTATAAATCATGACCAGTGGGCGGGGCCGTGGGCGGGTCATTCTTGCTTCTAAGGGTTAGCAATCTGACTGTCATATATGGCCTCATAGTACATTTCAATGTCTTACAGACAGATATACTTTCGCTACGGGCATTTTCTATGAATGTGCATTCAATTTATGATTATCAAAAGTCATTGCACAAAAAAATGCGCAGGTATCCAAACAACAACCGGTCAGAACTAGTTCGTCACAAATTCTAAACAGCCGCGCAACCCAGAAAACGACTGTGCCACTGCGAAGAGACGCAAACACTAGTCAGATTAAGTCGAATATACTTAACAATTGTCTCCTACATACAAATATAAGAAAACGTACCTTGATTTGTCGTGGAATCTCTTTAAAATGTTGGATTTTAATTTCAAAACAAGACCCAACTACGCGCCACGTCTCTTTCTAAAGTAGGTCAAAGGTTGCGCGAGGTTCAACAACTGCGAACTGCATCCTGGGAAAAAGTTGCAACATTGTCTTATTATCATATACATTGGTCTTTAAATTGATTAAAATGGTTCTGTATTGTAATTTCTGACATTTATTATATTACTTAGTAAACTCATTGCCACAACTGTAAAGGTTGATAAAGGTTAAGGTTTAGAGTTCAAACCCTGCGTGATGTTAATATCCCATCATTCACTGCGATGTGACGTCATTGGCATAGTAACATTACCGCTTGGAGGAAGCGCTAGATCGTGAAAAAAATGGTAAGTTTTCTTATGTTTTCTTCTATATTGTGTGATTGTTTGAGGTAGACATATATTTTTGGGACATAGAGCAGGCCTGGATTCATCAACGCACACATGGTAACTCCCGAAAGGGCATGGTTTTACAACAAATCGACTATCACCTGATATTTTTTCTAGGATGTCGATAAATTCTCGTGGTGCCATGCTTCTATCGTGCCAAAAAATTATGCCAGAATTTGCTAGAATTTAAATCTGAGCTTCAACATCTCAGTAGTTTGTTCCCGAAAGACATCGGGAGACCCATGCTATGTTGGTGGGTCT